TTCAGCTATTTTAGCACCAGTCACTTATTCAGTTTATCCGCGGCTTGTTCGGTTGTTCTACCAGAACCTCCGGCCGGCCCTGAGTAACCTATCAGAGCTGCATACAACTATTGATGGCCACCCCATCCAGATCACAGTTGATATATTAGCCAGATCTTCTCGATGCCTTCATGTCTGCCCTCCTGATGTTCATTATCCTATCTTAGAGAGGAGGCCTTCTGCCGTAGACATAGCCATTGCCCTTACTGGCCATTACGCAGATGGTGAAACTTTTGTCACTAGGACTTATCTGCCCGAAGATCTTTGGTTCATTGATTCGGTATTATTCCGAAACGTATTTATAGCGGGCCATAAGATCTAGAGGCACTCAGACTTTTTAGCTGTTCTATATGGATTCTATACAAGCCACTGTGTATCTATGTCGGCACTCTGTTGGAGTGCCATGATGAGATTATATGCGACGCAAGGCCAAGCCCAAGTGGGCCACTTTTCTCCCATTTGGCCATCTTATTACTCAGATCCTCAGAGATCAGCGCTATCATTTCCATCCTAATGAGTGTCTAGAGACAGGGGTTTGCCACTACGGCAAGAAGGATTGGAATAAGAGCTACAACGCTCTAATAAAGTTCCTGGAGCAGAACACCGTTCTAGCAGCCGAGGAGGCTGAGGAGGAGGAGATGGCAATGATAGCAGCAGCAGTAAACGATCCAACAGTGGCACCAGCGGTTGCAGCAAATATAGACATAGACTTAGAGTGAGAGCCTCTAGTAGAGGAGATACCACATCACTCTCCGGCAGGGTCGCCATTTCATTTTCAGGAGCAAGCTCAGGACGTACCTCAGTTTCATGATCTAGTCGTCCCTGACGCTCCAGCACAGACACCCAGCTTAGGAGAGCGTATACAGTCCTTGGAGGACGCCGTTGTCTCTCTTCGGTCAGATGTAGCATCTCTCAGCACGAACGTGACTATTTTTCGCTTTAATATCTTAGTTGCGCTGCAGGGCATATCCAGAGATATCCGGGGATCACGCCCTACTCGCCTTACATCATCTGCCTGATCTCTATTCCTCTCTTTCATTATTTTATATATATGTGATACGTTACTGCTATTTTGATACTGATCTAATTTTTTTTCGGCCAGTCTGTTGGCCCTGCTACTGTGATGTACTATATACTTGTTTGTTTTTTTAATTTATGCATGATATTTTGGACGTCAGATTGTTATATTGATCTATCTGTTTACTATTGACTCCATTATCAGGTGCATCCCAGTGACTTCAGTGAGAGAGTGCTACCCAAATTTTTCAGGACCACTATTTTCCTCTCTCCTTATTTCATTTATTGTCCCATTTACACTTGCATGTCCACTGTACACTATAATTATCCCCTTTGTTATCTGATCAGCTTTTATCCCAATGCCATCTTTTCAGGACCGTAGTTAATTCCAAGTTTGGGGGGGTTATACCACTCACTTTGGATATTTGCGTCCCGGCCATTCTTTGCCTTAGCTGCACTGGTATATTCTTTCATTTGTTCTCTTTGCACATTGAGGATATGTGCGGTTTAAGTTTGGGGGTAATGGGTGTAATTTACAGTATTTTCTTTCAATTCAAAATTTTGAGCATGACTTGTGTATTTAAGGGATTTTCTATGATTGGTCCATGACTAGCTATGATTTTGATCTTTTAAGGACTATATTGCTTAGAATTTAAAAATTGCTTGACTTGAGAGTCCAATACTCCTTGTATACCTTGTGGATGCCATTTAGGAGTAAATTTTTTGAAAGATTGATATCTTGATTGCACTTGTGGTCTACATCATCCTGATTTTGTGATTATTTTGAGATTCACTCTAAGATTCTACACTAGCACAGCACATTAGCATTCATTTGTGTGATACATGCTTTGTTGATTATTGAATTGATTATATCCCAATTGGGCTAGAAGTGCATTGAAAGCTTTCATTCTTGATAAAGGTGGATAACAAACCCTTTTCATTGAGTAACCGGGATTCTAGCCTCATCAAGCACTGAATTTCTCACGCCGAAAGGTGGAGGGCCCAAACTCTAGGTTAATAATTGAACTAACCTAAAAAAAAAAAAAAAAAAAAAAAAAAAAAAAAAAAATCGAGTGAAAAGAGTAAGCGCACCTAGATCAATAAAGCTTTAATAAAAGGTCCATTCTTTGTCTTGATGATCGGCACTAGATTTGTGTGCTAGTTTGAGGGTAATGATGTGATTATTTCTTTAGTTGGCTAAGATAGCAACATATTTGATGCCGGTCCACTTAAAAGACTTCTAGAGTTGTTTTGATTTGCATGATCATTTTCTTGATGTGTGGAGGACCATACTTGCTTGCTTGATGTTGAGATTTTGGGAGATCGCTTGGAAATGTTTGAAAAATTGCATACTTGAAGTAGTTTTCTCCTAATGCTTGTTTGCAATATTGGTGTCTCTATAGCGATAATGAGCTTAATGTTTGTGGGTATCACTTCTGGAAACCCTCACGAGACTTCACTCGTCCACTAGGGGTAACCTAGGGGTTTAAAAGGCTTGTTGCATATGCTAAATGCAATCATGTTCCCTATGAAAGTGGTGTTATCCATTTATCGCTTTCTAGTTATAGTTGTATAGTTGTTCATTTCATTCATTTACTTTGTAGTTCATTAATAGGGACTAGCAATATTTAAGTTTGGGGATCTGATGAGCATTAAAAAGTGCGCAATTAAACCCCTTAAGCTTAGGTATTCTAGGACCTTTATCAATCTTACTTTCCTGTTTTAGACTAATTTTGTATTATTGCCCTTTTTAGGTGCTTATTCCAAAAATAAGTCAATTCAGCCAAATAAGAGCATCAAAGAAGCTAACTAAAGCTAGATGGAAGAAAGGAGCAAAGTGAAAGTAGAATGAAGCAAAGTGTGGAAATCAGCAAGTTCGATCAATCTCAACATCACTTCAATCGATCGAAGAAACATCGATCTGGACACATCAAGATGGATCCAAGCCCTTGTTCTTATCCAAAAGAATCCACCAAGTTCAATCGATCCAACTTCTATTCGATTGATCGAAAATATTCAATTTTATCCCCACCTACCACTTTTTTCTCTTTCCCTAAAATATCCCAAAGTATCTCAGAGATTTGTCTTTATTCAAAAAGGCACCGCCAAGGACGATCGATCTCTGCAGTATTCGATGGATCTCAGTGCAATTCAATCGATCGAACCTCCTCAAGTCCGGAAAAAAATAGATTCCAGCTCATTAAAAGTTGGCTCATGCTGCAATCATTGGGGGGACCTTGGTGTACGAGCCCAAACCATTGGGTGTGACACTTGACTTACCTATATAAGGATTTGGAGCCATTTATTCATCATAGAGAGTGGATCATTCATCATATCTCATATCTTGGAGAGGAGGCTAGAAATTAGAGAGCTTTTCACACACCTTTGGGAGTTCTTCCATTCTTCTAGGGTTTTCATCAATAATGAGGTCATTCCTACCATGGAGATAGCCCTTGAGGATTGGATTACTACTTCAATAAGTGGCTAGACATCTGCTTAGGGCAAAAGTAGCCCCTAAGTTTGCTTCCTAGACTTAGTGTTTTGTATATTTTTGGGGATTCATTTGTAACAAATGTTTTGATCTTGGATTTATATATATATATATATATATATATATATATATATATATATATATATATTGTGGTTTCTACTTGATGTGTATGGATTAATGCTTTCAATTGATTATCTACTTCTAACCATATGTCTATGTATGCTAGAATGGATGATTCATGTGCTTTTCTCTAGATTTAATGGAGTTTATGCATGTCTATGTGTATGGATGAAGTTAATTTAAAGATGGTCAAAACATAGTGCTTAATTGAACACATTTGTAATTTATTTGATGGTTCACTCTTGTTTCTTGATGGATTGTGCCACACCTTTAGCTTACTTAGTTTAATTTCCATGTCTTTAGTGTAGATGTAGTGTAGTTGTTCTAGATTTATAGATAGGTGGACAATCTATTCTTGTTTCTTGGTGTTCCATACTTATGAATGCAAAGGGTTTATGTTTCTAGACAGTTGTGTGTGCATAAATTGTGGTTTCATTGAATGGATTTTGGTCTCATTTGATAGGTTGTGCTTTCCATATTAATTGGCTAGACAATCTGTACTTATTTGCGTTCCATGCCTAGTTTCAATTAATGACACACACACACAAGTTACAATTCAATTGCCCCATTGATATACAATTGCTAGTGTCTAGTGAAATCAAGCTTAGTGGTGAGCTCTAGTACCCCAATTCCTCTCCTCTATATATCTTTTTTCTATACCTTATAAATTATTGTGTTTTGTTTACTCTAATTTCAATTGAATTGTAGTGTAATCAATCAAACAAACCATCTTTTGATCACTTGACCTACTAACCCTATAAATTGTTTCCATTACAGGCACACCTTAAAATCTCTTAGGACGATACCTACTCACCCTAGCTATATTTTTAGTTAGAGGTAGTAGTGGCTTTTATAAATTTAAAACTTGGCCACACTATTTTGCACAAATTTGGTTATACCCGCAACACTGCACCACCTTCCCTGCTTGACGTAATATGTGGCACTTTGTTTTTAGCTCTGGTTGCCTCTCCACCAGGCCATACTCGGCTTCATACTCCTTGTACCGCTTGTCGGACAATAATCTGTCAAAGTGTGTGAAGAATTCTAGAAGAATAAATTGTCTGGAAAGGTAATACTTCAATTGACCATTGAAGCTTTCACTCAATTGCATGTTACTCATTCCTGCAGACCAATCGTGTTTGACAAATGCCAGGGCCCATTTATGTCTCAAATCTAACAAAATGGAAAGCCACTTATTACCAGCAACACCATACTCTGCAATCATTAAATCCTATTCCCTAATAAAATCATCCTCCTCCTTAATTTAGAACATTAATTTTGAGATGACCTTCTTTATTCCTTCAACGCATTTAAACAGAAATACTAGGTTCTTCTATTCATTATTCATTAAGTGCCAAACACATAAATGATGCTTCATCATCGGCATGACCTGCACGATTAATTAACTTAATACCCATGTTACAAACATGCAAATTCAAAAAATATGACTGAAATAATACGATTGTTTGCATGAGACAATACAAGAATAGAGATGCATCAAAGTTATTCACCTGCTTTAATGCCTTCGCCATTGCAGCGTCTTGATCAGTAACAATAGTCTTTGGCGCTTTTCCGCCCATCACTTTTAAGAACGTTTCAAATAACCAGACAAACGAATCCGCTGTCTCATCATACATTAAGGCTACTCCAAACACAGCGGTCTCCCGGTGATGATTCATACCCAAAAATTGCAAATGGTCTGTTACCGTGTACCACTTTGTATGTTGTGTTGAAACTGATAACATCTCTAAACTGGCCATAATCAATGATCATTTTACAATCTGACCAGAATATGTTCGTAATCATTTGCTCAGTATCCATTTGCAAAAAATAGAAGAACGAAGGATCTTCACAACCACACGTCTCAAAATAATCCACAAGCCATGCCGCCTCTCCATAAAGAAGCTCCTTTTATCTTTGTGTCCTTAGATGATTTTTAAGATCCACTTTCAAGTACCCAATTGATTCTTTGCCACCAGACTGCCTTCCCATCAACTCATATGCATTACAAGCCGGAACTCCTGAATCCGAAGCCAACTCAACATCAATGACCTGGACTGAGGAAATTCGTCATTGGGACGGTATCATGTGGCTGCATTCAGCAATTATGAATGGATGGTTGCGACTTTCTACAAATTTAGAAACTATATACTTTGCCTTTGTCTTGTCATATCTAATAACCATTCGTGCACTGCAATTGGTTCGTGTTTCAGTCCGGGGCGTCTTTCTAAATACATCTCGTTTGTCAATCCCCTTCACACCTTCCTTGCTACAAACTAACACCCTTGATGTAATTCTTCCATTAACTTTATTGCCATACTCCTTCCGGATGCTAAAACCAATTCGACCACCATATGCATTGTAAAAATCATATGCCTCTTCCTCACTATCAAACTCCATTTTATACCATGGTTTCCATTTAATCACTTCCGGTTCTACAACAGGACCATTTCATCCGTTTGTTGTGTCTTGAATATTATTTACTTCACCTTCCATCTGAACGCCTCAAATACAAAACCTTTTCTCACATATGCACAAAATATTGAATTAACAAAAAATTAATTTTACTTCTACATACCAAGTATGTTCTATCTCATGGCTCAAATACAAAACCTTTTCACATGTATGGCCAATCAAATAAAAAACCTTTTCACATGTATGAGAAATTAAATTTTACATATATCTCATTCATTTCTTTTTTTTTCCTGAATGAAGGAGTATATTAAAATAAAACAAAAAAGTACAAAGATTCAAGTGAAGGCATACCCTCACTAAACAAAAAGTCCTATGCAAGGACACTCACACAAAAAAAATCAAACAAAAAGCATTACAAATATCTTGAAGATTAATCCCCAAGACATCTAGCACCTCCCAAAGAATACACTTAGCTAAATCCTTAGCCTCTCTAGCACTCTTATCATGTAATCTATTATTCCTCTTCCACCAAACAAAATATAGAGTAGCTAAAAAACAAACTCTAGCCATTTTCTTATCACCCTTCCTGTAAACCTGATGATTAAATTGATCTATGATTTCTTGCAAGCCAAATACCCTTTGCAAATTCCATGAACACACCTCTGATATAAAATTCCACACCTTCCATGTATACACACAGCCACAGAATAGGTGATCCAAATATTCAGCCTCTTTATGGCACAAATAACATCTAGAAGCTAATGCAAATCCTCTCTTCTGCAGAAATTCATTTGAAATAATTGCTTTATACATAATCATCACTGAGTGTACTGACCATCGTGGCCTTCCACCATTCCAGTACAAACCGGCCCAAAACACCTGCTGATTCTTCACTCTAGCTGATTCCCATGCTGCTTTGTAACCAAAAGAAGGTGTAAACCACTGCAATTTATCCTCACCTGCGACAATCTACTAGTTCCTGAATACCTGCATCAGATCTTGGTTTATATTGCTCAATTTATCAGTATCCCAGTGGCCATCAATGATGAATTCACTCATATATATATTCTTATCTCTGCTCAAACACCCTAAAATCCTATGACTGAAAATCTCACTCAAAAACTTTCCTTGACACCATGGATCCTTAAACACTTTATTGTTCTGCCCATTGCCGATTTTGAATCTGCAATTTACCTTAATAATGTCTCTAACAGCAACAATACTCCTTCAAACAGCTGAAGAAGATCCATTGAGAACCACATTCCAATACGAGGCTCTCTTTAGATAACAATTCCTAAACCAAGTAACCCAAATTCTATCATTTGAAAGTAAAAAATCCCAAGCCAGACAGATTTTTGTAGTAATATCAATGTCTTTTATTCTTCGCAAACCCAGACCACCTTCCTCTTTAGGGGCTGTGATCTTTTTCCACCTAATACTATGCATTTTCTTTGTATTTTCAACATGCCCCCATATAAAATTCCTCATTTTCCTCTCTATAATACTAGTTACAGCAGCAGGTAATGGAAAAACTGAGGTCCAATATTGAACCATTGGGACAATGACAGCTCTGCTAAGCTCAACTCTACCTACCATTGATATATGTAAACCATTCCATCTGGATGTAATAGCAATGACCTTGTCCATCAGGCTTAAACAATCAACTCTCCTCAACATCTTATCAGAAATGGGTAACCCCAGGTATGTAAAAGGTAATTTCCCTTCTTTACACCCTAAGGTTCTAGGGATGGAAGTTCTTCTTCTCATAGCTCTAGTAAGATACACTTCAGACTTTTCTTTACTGACAGCTAACTCAGAAGTTTTCTCAAACTTTATCAATAATTTCTTTAGAGTTAAAACACTAGCCATATTAGCCCTTACCACTAGTAACAAATCATCAGCAAAAAACTAATGTGTGATTGGAATTCCAGCCTTAATTGCAGCCTGAGACGGAATAATTTTACCTCTTTTAGTTTCCAACTCCATCATCCCAGAATAGTATTCTGTCACAAGAGTAAAGAGAAGAGGAGATAAAGGGCATCCTTGCCTTAAACCCCTTCCAGGTTGGAAAAAACCTTGAGGAGATCCATTGACAAGGATAGAAAACCACACTGATGAAACACACTTCGTAATCCAGCGAACTATTGATTACCAAAACCAAACAGCTTCAATAACTTAAATAGAAAAGGCCATTATACTGTATCATAAGCTTTCCTCAAATCAATCTTCCAAGCCATGGTAGCTCTAGCTCTCTTAGCACCAAACCCTCTCATAAGTTCATTAGTAACAATAATATTATCCTGTATCCTTCTACCTTGTATGAAAGCCGTTTGTTCATTCCCAACAATACTTCCTAACACCTTAGCAAGTCTGTTAGCTAGAATCTTTGCCACAACTTTATAAAAAACATTGCACAAAGAAATAGGCCTGTAATCCTCCACCTTTATAGCATCCTTCTTCTTTTTTATCAGAGTAATAAACGTGCTATTAACTCCCTTCCCCAACACTGGATTATGAAAGAATTGCATGATAGCCTCCGTAAATTCCTCTCCCATAATAGACCAGTACTGCTGAAAAAACCTAGCTGTAAATCCATCAGGACCTGGGGCTCTATTAGCGCCCATTTCAAAAATAGTGTGCTTCACTTCCTCTTTAGAAACAGCAGTCTGTAACATACTGACCTCTTCACCTCCTAGAGTCTTTCTGATGTATTTCTGTTCTGGTTCAACTAACTTAGTAGACCCCCTTGCATAAGCTTTCTGAAAATAATCCACAAACCTGCTATGAATTTCAATTGGATCAGTTATAACAGTCCCATCATCTCGGATTGATGTCAAATTACTATTAACTCTATGTTGTTTGATTTTCTGAAAGAAGAACTTTGTACATCTGTCTTGCTCATTCATCCATCTAATCCTTGACTTCTGAGAAAAAACAATATTTTCATTAGAAATTGCAACTTCCAGGTTTAATCTACAATCATCCTCCTTTTGAATATAATCCCTATTCATAGGATCAGCTACCAAATCAATCTGAATATCAACTAACTTCTTCCTACAGGAAATAACTTCAACATAAACTGAGCCAAATTTCTCAGAGTTCCATTGTTTCACAGCTTTCTTATATAACTTAAGTTTGAACAACAACTTGTTAATTGGATCTCCCTTAGATTGTTTCATCCAAACAGAAGCCATCAACTCTTTAACTTCAGGTTGCTTATTCCAGACCTTCAAAAATCTAAACGGCTTTGGAGCTGAAGCAATTTTATTCGGTAGATTAACACATAAACCCCAATGGTCTAAATTCAATGGAGGTGTTAATACGACATGAGCATCAGGATAAGCAAAGGCCCAATCTTCATTCATCAAGCCCCTATCTAATTTAGCATAAATCCTTCTATTACTAAATCTTTTATTGCACCAGGTATAAATGCCATTAGCTACTGGCATATCAGCTAAACATAACTTATCAAGAGTGTTATTGAAATCAGCAAAAAGGCTTGGGGCAAGTATCTCATTCATTTCATTTCTTTGCATGTATCAATCAAGTATATCCCAGACAAACGACAATAAAAATCCTCGTTGCCATAACAGAACATATATGTCCAACCAACTGATGCTATTTTTTGAAAATGTTGGGATTAATATTATGCAAAATTTGGGATTTACATTACCAAACAGTTGGGATTCACCTTACGAAATAGTTGGGACTCACCTTAGGAAAATTTTGGGATGTACTTTTTGAAGAATTTGGGATGTGATTTACGAAACCTTTGGGATTCACATTAGGAAAATTTTGGGATATATTTTACAAATACTTTGAGATTTATATTACGAAAATTTTGGGATGTACGTTAGGAAAATGTTGTGACTCACTTTACAAAAATATTAAAATGTAGATAAGGAAGAATTTAGGATGCTTATTAGGAAAAAGTTGGGATTCAACTTAGAAAAATGTTGTGATACAAGCCCAACAACCAAACATTTTCTTAACATTGTAACTCTGAAACACTCTTTTCCGGCCAGTCATGTACCCTACAACTCCTCTCATTTTTAATCCTCACAAACAAACATTAAAACCCCTAATAACTACACAATAAAATAGCGATCAATTCAAATTCACCAATAATTTTCTTTTTCTGGGTTTTGGGATGTACATTAGGAAAATGTTATGGCTTAGTTTAAAAAAATATTGGAATATAAATAAGGAAGAATTTGGGATGCTTATTAGGAGAAAGTTGGAATGCAACTTAGGAAAATGTTGCGATGCAAGCCCAACGACCAAATATTTTCTTAACATGTAATACTCTGAAACACTCTTTTCCGGCCAATTATGTACCCTACAAATCCTCTCATTTTGTTTCCTCACAAACAAACATTAAAACCCCTAATAATTGCACAATAAAATAGCGATCAATTCAAATTCACCAATAATTTTCTTTTTTTGGGCTTACCAAAATTGTGTCTATATATATTTGTTTTTGCCATTCAGTTCTTATGGAAATAAGATGATTTCCTTCAAAATCAAATCTCAAAATTATGAATCGTACCTGATTAGGGTAGGAAATAAGGCGATTTTGTGCTTCGATTTGGAAATACACTCCCGCTTAGCTTTGGAAATCCACTGCTGCTTCTTTTTGGAAGGAAATCAGAATCTGCAATTTCATTGCGACTGACAGAAGTGCTGCTTCTATTTGGAAACAATTTGTAGCATCTAATTTTTGGGTTAATTCACACAACAATCGCTGCTTCTGGATTCTATTTAGAAAGAAATAAATTTCTAAAATGGCTTCATTCATATTTTGGGAGAGATGAAGGCTAGGGCGGGATTTTATTTCTATTTCAAATGTCGCCTGAAATGAGGGAGGGAAGAGGAAGCAAAAATAAGGGAGGGAACACAATGGGTATTCTTCAACAATATATACACCAAAATTCTGTATTTCAAAAATATATTTTTTACCCAAACATGGTTAACACTGTTCATTGACCCTGGTCCCTTATATTTTATCCATACTTTTCATGATTTGTAAGGGTCAAATTCAGAATGAGATATTAAAATATTTGTCTCCAGAAAGGATCATAATTTATTTATATATATGAAGTAAAGTACCAAAAGTATTCAAGGAGAGATGATGTAGTGCACAACCAATTTTTAAGAGGTATTAAGTTTAAGACTTGAGTACAACATAAATGATCTTTTTTTTTTTTTACACGGTCAATTCAAAATAATTATTGGAAAATGTTGTTCGCATCAAATATAAAAAATTCAAATTTAAAATCAGGCTCTACCAAATCAGGATGATTTTAAGAAGATTATGCATTATTTTATTTTATTTTAGTTTTCCTCCTGTAATTTGATTTTTAAATTTCTTTTTTTCCACTCTTAAGTGTGTTCCCTTCTAAACTCTATAAATAGGGACTCTTGGAAGGGGTGAGGGAATTTAGAGAGTCGGTGAGAAAATAACATAGAGTTACTGAGAGATATAATAAACTTAGGCCCTGTTTGGGAGAGCTTCCAGTTTTTAAAATTCTTTCCATTGAATCGGCTTTGGAGAATGCATTTTGACGAAAGGAATTTAGAACAAAAAAGTTGTTTGGTAGATGAATTTTTTGAAGTTCTTTTAATTATCAACATAATTTAACTTGACAAGTATACCCTTAATAATTCATGAATAATAGCATAGAGTTGACTTGAGATGTACAAATAGGGGAAGGAAAAAAAATAAAAAATTAAAGTGATGGAGTGAAATTGCCTATGATGCATCGATTAATTGACATAGTGATGATCAAGGTATACAAATTTACCCAATCTACATTATAGAAATTCTTTTTTTATTTTTCCTTAATAAAAGTTGAAAGAGAATGTGGAAAAAGAAAAGGAAAGAAAAATAAAATGAAAGAGAGAGATGGCAACAAATAAATTACTTTAACAGTGGAATGGTAGCCTTAAAAAAAAATTATATATACATATATATATATATATATTGTGTATGTGTATATATATATATATATATTGTGAGAAACAAAAGTTATTTAGAATTCTTCATAAGGTTGAATTTTAGATGAGAGTTCATAAATCCTGAAACTCTTTAGGCTTTGAAGTTAAATGGGAGTCGATAGTAATTTTTCCTGCAACTCCTCGATGTCATTATTTTTCCTTTGTTGAATCGTTTTTCAAAAATATTTTTTTTTAAGTAAAGACTACGAAATTTTGCTCAACATTTTAAAATTTATTTTTTAGTTTTTATTTTTGGGTAGAGAACAAATGAAGAAGATGATACAGAAAGAGAAAGAGAAAAGTTTGCAATAGAATTCAGAAATAGAAATAGAAATAGAAATAGGTTAAATAATAGACAATATAGGAATTTTATATTTATTACTTAAAAAAAGTGTGTAACTTGCGGGAAGTCGATCAGGAAGCATATTTTATTGGCTTTGGTCAATCGGGCTTCTAAACCACTGAAACTTTTTAAAAATCCGTTTTCAAAAATTTTACCAAACGCTCTTTATTATCGGCAAAGGACTTTCTGGGCTTAAAAGCCTATTTTGAGGCTATAGAAAGCCCAGCCAAACAGACCCTTAGAGTTTTATTGTCTTACATAATTGATGTAGGACAAATTTTAATATTTTTTTAATTAGGTTTATTTGTTTATTTTTATTTTATATTTTTAGACAGTCTTTAGTTTTAGGTAATTTCTTTATATTTTTAATTTTGTTTCCTTATATTTTTATTTTCCTTTAGAAATTAGTTTTCTTATAAGATTAGATTTTTTAGGTTTTCTATATTATAAAAACATGTAGCAGAAAAAATCAATCATTCAATATTATCAATAAAATATTATATTCCTTTGTGAATTTTTATTCAACTTTGTGGATTCAAAGTTAACACCTTGTGGATTCAAGTTATCCTATATTCTTTTTTTCGATAATTAAGTAATTCATATAAATAAAAAGAAGTAATTACAAAAAAAAAAAAAGCGGCCTTTCCTTCAGCCTGGCAAACAAACAAAGAACAAAATGTCCACTATAGTGGCCCAAAGAACCCAACAAAGAAGTCCAAAACCTGACTAAACCCAAAAAAAATACATCCTTCTGCACACAAGTATGTAACTACCTTCAATCATATCCTCAGGTGGGATGAATCAACAAACCATAAAGTATCAACACTACTGGGTTATGGTTGGGGGTGTTGAGCTGTTGGGATCGGTGGTGGAGGTGGTGATGATGGAGGTGGCTGGTGGAGGTTGTGTGTGTTGGGTGGTTGTCAAATGGAAGAAGGGATTTGATTGGGCAAGCTCATAAAAGGATGATGGGAGATTCCAATCTGCTACAATTTCTTCTGCAAATGGGCATTCAAATTTCTTGACAGAGAATAGCTTCAGCGTGATTGCATTGATCACTGAGTTCATTGTTTGGACCGGAGGTAATGAAATATTTTTTAACATTCTAGGGTTTCGCTCCTTCCAAATGTGATAGACATAGCTAGTCAAGACCATGACTCTCTTTCTCTTAAGTTTTTGCTTCCAATTAGAGGATACCCAAATTAGGAAGTCCTTCCAAGAGTTAGGGTTTGTGTAAAACCCACATTTATGTTGTAAACCAGCCCATACAATTTTTGAATAATCATAGTCATGGAACAGATGTTCATGGTTCTCAGCGGCTCTTAGACAAAGGATACACACATTAGGTTGTATTGTGTAGAGAAGTGTAGGTTTGTCTTGAGTAAGTAGTTTTTCTTGAATTGCTAGCCACAAGGTTTTGGTATGGCATGTATAAACCAGGTGAGCTTATGCCAATGAGTAGGTGGGATTGGTTGGGTAATGGCAAGGAGTGTATGGTTAAGGGAATATGTCTTGTTAGGTGATAGTGTCCACTGGATGGTTTCATTGGAGTAAATATGTCTAGGCCATGTCCATTGGGAGGTAGTGAGTAATGATGATACTTTCATGGATTTGTTGATTAACCAACCCAGTCTATGATTGAAATTAGAAAAAACCTGATAATGAGGTCCACATGGTAGCCAATTGTCAAAGAAAACCATTGTTGATGAGCTATTGTTGATGATGTGTTTGACAAAAAGTTGTGCCAAATTTCTATTTTGTAGAAGCTTTTTCCAGAACCAGGAGCTATCATTAGGTATAGGTATGTCCCAAATGCTCTTCTTTTTTACCAAATTCTTGAGTATCCATTCTTTCCAAATTCGTGTTGTGTCATTGGAACACAAAGTCCAGATATGTCTCAATATTGAGGCCTTGTTCCAAAGTTGTATATCATAGATGCTAGTCCTCCTGCATGTTTGGGGCTACACACATGCTCCCATTCCACCTTAGCTCTGTACTTGTTCATTGCTTTGCCTGACTATAAGAATCTTTACATTATTTGGTTCATCTTGTTACACACTTTAGCTGGTAAAATCAAAAGGTTTGTCCGTAAATATGCATGCCGAAAAGTGTGGCTTGTATCAACAGTAACATTCCTACAAATGATAATGCTCTTACAGTCCAACTTGTAACTCTAGAAAGCATGCTATCTATGATGGATTGGCAATCATTTGTTGTGAATCTAGTAGAGATCAATGGTAAACCAAGGTATTTGACAGGTAGCTCTGCACAGGGGAATTGGAAGATGTTGCATATGGTGTTTTTGGTCTGTGGAGGAGTTCCACCGAAAAACAAGTTGTTTTTGTTGGGGTTGGGGGATGAGGCCAGAAAGGTTAGTGAAGGTATCAATGGATATTTTGAGTGACTGTGCATACCTAACATCTCCGCACATAAGAATGTCATCTGCAAAGGTTAAATATGAGATTAGGGTTGCTTAACGTTTCCAATGATAGGTAAAGAGTGGCACCCTATCTTGTGGATTTAAGATAACCCCGTTCCATGTGAACAATCTATCTCTTCCGCTTATGTCAATAATCTTCTTGTAATTTTTTCATATTCAATGGAAATCATTTTTATATCTATATGTTATTATTATTATTATTAGTATGATAGCTTAAAAACTCTTCTCAAAGAAGTGATGAAGCCACCATGGTAGAAATATAAGTGAATTTATTTTATTTCTTATATGAAATTTTTTCTTGAGAACATTGATTTTATTATTTTATTATGAGTTTTATATGTAAAATTTTTAGAGGGAGGATTTTTCGTGTTCATCAAGTAATGGTAATTCATAAAATGCCTACTTCTATTCATCTTTTTAGCAAAGTTAAACAGATTAAGGCTTCGTTTGAGTTAACAATGAAAATAAGTACGAAAATTTTAACAGCTGAATTTTAAGCGCTAAAGTTTTTAGGTGGTAATTAAAAAATTAATATTTTTTAATATTTTAAAAAAGTTAGCATTCACCATTCAATGATAAGTGATCACCCTGTCACTTAAAATTTTACTCCATTTTATCCATTTTAAGTAACGCTTACCATTTTCAATGATATTCAAATTACATTATCAAATACACTTGATTGAATAAGCGCTGAATCTGTTATCCGTATAAAATTTTACCTTTATACTAGGCGCCCAGGCGAATATTGTTTTTATTTATTTTATTAAATTGCGCAATAGAGAGAGTAGATTCGCGCAGGATTTTCGTAGTTTGGCAATATGTAAAGGTTTCAAGTAAGCATGAACTTCATGGGGAATATCCGTCTGGATCAATCTTTTGAAATTCCAGAAAAAAAAAAAAAAAAGTATAAAGTACACACGGCAAAAGAAGAAATGGTGAATTGACCTGATTAATAATTATAAGCACAAGAATGTAATTTCGTAAGATCTAAGAATACAAAGGCTTTCCAAAATCTATGCAAGAGCATGGATGCCAACAGGTTTCTTAATCATGCAAAATAGAACCGATCACCACTCCAAAGAACACAAGTGGCAGCATCCTCCGCACATTAAAATGTGCCAAGGCGAAAGCTACTGAACTCACCAGAATTGAACACCATAGGAGGGGAGAAGAAACCCATGGAAGACGAACTCCATCAAATAGGGCACAACCAGAAATTACTTTGGCATAAAGAGCCATTGCCACTGGATCTCGTGTGATTGATTACTCAACACCTTGAGACAGTGAACGAAGTGGGGAAAGAATTGGCAACAAAGTTGAGTTGACCCGTGTGAGCCGGTTGGCCATGGAAAGGATGAGGCAGCCCAAGCCAACATCAATTGGCTAATACCTGAACCAATTGGATGGAAGGGTGTGGAACCTTGCAAGGAAGCAATGGAGCATTGCAATTCAGCGAGGCCCAAAAGGTAGCACAAGGCTTGCCATCTGCATGTCAGGTGTACTTTTGAAGCCCATTGTACAACCAGGAATGGTATTATCCAAGATTCTACTAAATAGAATGAGGCATTCCAGAGGAGCATACTTGCAGCACCAGAAATTTCCACTTTACAATTCTTTATTGCTGCATATGTTTGTATTGTATACTTCAAGAACAAAAATAATTGCTCAACCGTTTGAGATTAACCTGTCCAAGTGAGCAACATAGCATCATTGAGTTAGTTACCGTTCATTTCTGATGACAATATATGACCTCAATCATGATGTTACCTGAAAATTTATGTCAAAGGAGAATGCTTTGAGGATGGTCCAAAAAATTTCCTTTGTTTCTACAACAATACCCTTTCTCAATAACAAAATGATAAGTAGAGAAAAAAGAGCTTACGAAAACCTTATTCCCAAAACTTTTTAAATATTAAATTAAATGAAGAGCAGCAAAAAAAAAAAAAAAAAAAAAAAAAAAGCAATAAGAAACACTATTTGAGAGTTGTCACGACAACCGTAGTCATTGTCACATAAACATTTTATTGCGATTTCAATTAAATCTAATAAAAGTAGACTACAAAGCCACATCTAAACCTATGGTATCAAACTATCAATGTTTCAATATGACACCAAACCTAATCAATATCATCACCACCACATGCTGTGCTCACAGCCTCCATTATCACATTATGATCACCACTACTGTCATAATACTATTGTTGCATTGCCACCAACTGGAAACCTATTAATGGCATCAACTCTGTTAATGAAATATTAATATTCTACTTTGCTTGTATACCACTCACCAACCTAGTTGCCTTGTATAGCACTCATCAACCCAATTGTCTTGTATAGCTTACTTGTATAACACTCACCAACCCAGATGTCTTTTATAGCTTACTTTTATAGCACTCACCAAGCCCTAACCCTCTCCATTAAATAAGTCTCTATTGTACAGTTTGAATGTGTGGAATGGTATACAAAGGCTTGGCCTTTTCTCCTCTTTTTTAATATTATTTCCTCTTCTAACATGGTATGAGAGCCACCACCAATTATTATTTTTTGTTTTTTGTTTTTGTTTTCACCACCACTAGTCTGTGTCACTGTGACCAGGGACGGACCCAGGAAATTGTGTGAGGGGCGCCAAAAGTGGGATTTTTTTGCAATTTCCGCCACCACCGCCGCCGCCGGGGGGGGGGGGGGGGGGGCGGGGGACATTAAATTTCCATAGGTATATAATTCAAAAAAGGAAAAATTACTACTTTATAATACTAAAAAAAAAAAAAGTTCAGTTGATACATTAGATCCGTTCCTAACCGTGACTACAATCACCATCGCCAGTCACCTTTGTCGAACACACACTATCCCAGCCTAACTAAATCTTCATAGGCAAATTAGTCCGTAGTAACATAGTAATTACTACGGACAAAATTGAGGTTGCTCAACCGATACACACCATACTTAATGGGTCAAACTACAATCTACGGGCTCACGCCGTGCGTAGCTTCCTAAAAGGATGCAGACTTTGGTGTACTGTTACTGGAGACATACGTCCCCTACAAAAGATGACAAGGAAAATGAAACCAAGTTCTTTGACCGTTTTGATGATTGGGATAGCAAAAATCATCAAATCATCACCTGGTTGGGCAATACTTCAGTACCCTCCATCCATCCTCAATTTGGTCGTTTTGAGACAACAAAAGAATCTAGGATTTATTTGCCCTGCGATATACCACTACTGACCTCACTCTTCATAATCAACTCTTGGGTACTCGTCATTGTATGAAACAGGAGCTTGGGCAATCCATCAATGATTTTCTTCCTCAGATGCACTCTCCCTGGGATCAGCAAGCTCTCTTGGAACATAAGTGGGATTGTAATGCTGATGTTGTTAAGTTCATCACATTTCGCGATCATATGTGCCTTGTTCAATTTCTCATGCCCCTTATCAGTGACACTGAGCGTATTAGAGCTTCACTTATACATCGACATCCTTTGCCTGCACTTGATTCTGCATTTTATTTTCTTATCATTATTATTCCTCTTGTTCTCATAAACTCCCGTCCGATCCTTATTTCATAACAAGGTTGGTCTTTTTCTTTCAGAGTGTCCCACAATTGTCTACAGGAACTGCCAGAAGAAGGGTCATATCTCAGAAATTTCTGTACACAGTCTTTCACTGGTACGCAATCTTCTCTAGAATGCTGGTATTGTCATAGGCCGGGTCATACCATTGAAGATTGTCCCACCAATCCCCCACCGCCTAATCACATTCGAGGTAATTCATCCAAATCAGGTTCTTCATCTAAATTCAATTCTTGCTCTGCTATCAGTGTTGCAGTCAGCGATGACCCTTTTACCAAGAGATCCCTCTTCTGCTGTCTCTGTTAGTGATCTCGAGAAAATGCTTAAATAGATTCTATATAAATCTAGCCAAACTATTGTTATTATCTTAGGAGATTCTCTTGTCTCCTAGCGTAGCAAAAAGCAAATGGTTGATACTTAATCTAATACTGAGGTTGAATACCGAGAGCTTGCCGACACCCCATCTAAGCTTCTTTGGTTACGTCGGTTGTTAAAGGACATGGGTGTTACACGTTCTTCTGCCACCACTCTTCATTGTGACAATCGCAGTGCCATCCAGATTGCTCGCAATGATGTTTTTTTATGAGTGCACTAAACACACTGAGCTTGATTGTCATTTTGTGCGTCATCATTTGCTCTAGGGTACTCTTCGACTAGTTTGTACTAGTTCTGCTACTTAGACTGTTGATATCTTCACCAAAACGTATCCACCTAGACATTTTCATAACTTGGATTCCAAACTCAAGTTGGTGTCTACTCTTCCACCTTGAGTTCGAAGAGGGATGTTAATGTAATATTAATATTTTACTTTACTTGTATAGAACTCACCAACCTTGATGTCTTGTATAGTTGTATAGCACTCACCAACCCAGTTGCCTCGTATACTTGTATAGCACTTACCAACCCCTAACCCCCACCTATAAATAAGTCTTTATTGTACAGATTGAATGTATGGAATAATATACAAAGGCTTACTGATGAGCGCTGAAAAGTACACATTTAAACCCCTTGAGCTTGAGTATTCTAGGACCTTTATCTATCTTATTTACCCGTTTTAGTACTTATTTGTGTTTTTGTCTATTTCAGGTCAATAATGTTAAAATGGGCTAAAAATGAGTTCTTAAGGCATTTTTGGAGTCAAACTAAGTCTTAGCGATGATCCGGAGCAAAAAGAGGCTGATTTGGAGCAAAAAGAAGCTGATACTGAAAAGCTGAAAAGTTGGATGGATCGCAAAAAAAAGTTGGATCGATCGAACTTTTAGTTCGATCGATCAGAAAAGTTGGATCGATCGAAAAATAAGTTGGATCGATTGAAAAAGTTGGATCGATCGAAAATAAGTTGGATCGATCGAACTAGACATGCTGGCAGCAAGCTGTCACTTTTTCCGTGCGCGCCCAAAAGTTCACCTACCAAAAAGTTGCGGGATTAGATATTTTTGGGCATATATTCTAGACTTAGTGACTAAGAAAAGGACCTTTTATATAAAGAGAAGCAACCCATTTGTAAAAAGGGGATTTTTAGCTTTTATCATTTTATTTTCTACATTGTAATTTTTATTTCTCTCTCTAGAAAAGTTAGAGATTAGGGTTAGAAGAAAAGAGAGAAGTGGAGGCACATCTCAATAACACATCTCTAAATCCACTATCTCTCCATCTCTAAAGCTTCAAAGAAGAAGAAGAAGAAGAGGAAGAAGAAGATGGAGCCATGTTTGGAGCTTGATTCCATGACTACATCCACCTCCTCCATGATTGACTAGATCTACACTTAGGGCTTGGATGAGCCCTAAGTCTTGTGTAATCTAAACCCTTGTATTTCTATTTTTGGGGATTTATATATATATTGTTGTGATTAGTGTTCTAGCTTTGTGAATTTCATGAATCTTGGTATATTTCTATGATTTCCATGGTCTAATTCTTCCTATTAATTCTCTAGTTTATTTACATGTCTATGTGTGATTAAATTAGGAATTATGTCTCACATGATTCATATGGGTTAATTCTTCCATTGATTCTCTATTTTAATTACATGTTGTCTTATGTGTGATTATTTGGGGAATTAATCTCTACACTAGTTTTTCTATATTAATTGCATGTCTATGTGTGGTTAATTGAGAATCTAGTGATGGCTAGACATTAGTGCTTAATGAAATGCTCTTGTTATGTCTTTTGATGGTTCATACTTATTCCTTGATGGATTATACCTCTCCCTTAGTTTATTTTCATGTTAGTTTTGTAGTTGTAGTGTAGTGTTAGATGGGGGAGACAATTCATGCTTGTTCTTTGATGTTCCATGTTTTTGAATGCAAGAAGCATATGCTCTAATATTGTGGTGTAATGGAATTTTGAGCTTAATAAAGGATTAATGACTTGTTATGATATATTGTATCTTTCACATGTGTTTAGACAATATATTCCTCTCCCAATAGATATATTGTGGCCTCTCACATGATGTTTAAACAATACATGTTTAACTAAGTCATCCTTGTGAATTATTTGGACTATAAGCTTAATGAAAGGTTTAATGACTTGATTTGATATTTTGTTCTCTTCACATGTTGTCTAGACAATATATTCCTCTTCTAATAGATATATTGTAGCCTTTCACATGTTGTTTAGACATTATACACTTGTTGAGTCACCTTTGCTAGTCGAACCAATTTTGTTCACAACAATGTATTCCTCATTAATGGAAAGCAAGTGGTTAATTACACAAGCTTAGTGGTGATTCCAACACCCTAAGTCCTCTCTTCTCATCTCTTAAATCCCTATCTTTACTTAGTTTTATTTTTATTGCATTTTAATTAATTCTTTTTTAGAAGTAATCAACCAACCCAACTCTCTTTTGCAATCATTTGGTACGCTAGAGTCGAAGTTGAAATTCCAACACGTATAATCCCTTGGGACGATCCCTACTCACTCTTGCTACGTTAGTAGTGGTATTGGTAGTGATTTTTATAAATTTAAATTTGACATAAAAGGCTTTTCTTGAACCACACATTCACTACATTTAGTTTGGCGTATTGGAACGGTCGTCGTCAGATTTTAGCGCCGTTGTCGGGGATTAACGGTTTTGTTGGAATTAAACTAGACAATAGTGTTCATTAGAATGCTTCTATT